GGGTTGTCCACCACTGGGACCGTGAGGTGAAAGGGGTGAGGGATTTTAGCAAAGAGACGGGGAGCTATGGGGTTTTGGTTCTTGAGTAATTGGGCCAATGGGAGTGAAACTAAAAACACACACACACCTAAATTTAAAGCATGAATCCCCCCTCTAGTTTATTTCGTTTATATTTTAACAAAAAATACAAGAACCTGTTTACATGCACAATGGCAGCTCTTTTCCAAGAGACCATTTACACCTATAGAAACACTGTTTTTGGAGCCAAAAATAATTAATTAAATATTCACTTATTTAAAAAAAAAATTAACAATTTCATGTTACAAATGTCACAAATACTTCTTCTTCAGCTTTTTTTTAGGTGTAAGTTGTTTTTGTTGCTCAAGCACATTTGGATAAAAACAAAGAACACAAATAATCACAATCGTCATGCCAAAATCCAGGTCTGTACATTTATTTCTAGCTGATAAATTAACAATTAGTTAATTAGCTGTAATTAATTATGCAAATTAGTTCACATTATTATCGGCGCTATGCATACACGGACCCACGCACCTTACCAGCAATCCAGTCACATACGCTGAGGCACAATAGCGGACAGCAAATTAAAGTGGTAATTACTTTTAAACCAAGAAAGGTGAGGGATTGTATGGCAGGGTGCAATGGGTCACTGTTGAATGGAGAATAGCAGAACAGGCAGACAGTCAGAGAGAAAGATATGCATCTCAATGAAATATGGAAGAGCACACTCAACAAAAGAGGAAATGGCTCCATAATGGCCACATGGCCTCAAAGAGTTATTGTCTGAAAGATCTGGAATATAATCTACCACCAGTGGCAGTTATTGTTAAACATCCTTTTATGCTTATCACTCATGTGAGCCACTGTAGGGCTGGATGCAGAAAATGCAAGTTGATAATGTCTTTCTGGGCTAACAAATGCTTTTCAACTACAGGTCCTGGCTCTTTATAAGCACAATAGACAGGGATTTACTCCAACAACGATTTGGTTATCGCAAAATAATCCTCCAGGTTACATTTTCATGCGAAAATATTCAGACCAATTCAATTTTGTCACATTAAAACAAAAAATGTAAATGTATTTTATTGGATTTTTTTGGTGATAACACCAACAGAAATATGTAATTATGGAAATCCGATCTGAAAGGACCACAGTACTTCACATACATGTGATGGGGTCAACATGTTTATTCTGATGTGAGATCAAAGCCTATTAAGCTTCAAAGATGCATATTTTCAAAAGGATTCTGTGAATGTTTGGATATTCAGAAGAGCATGTGCTTTTTCGAAAGAATTTCATGGTTTATGGAAAGATAGTCAGAAACCAGTGTAACGGTGATGAAACAGTTGTTGGCTGTATCAGGTTATCAATGTGGCCCCAATTCAGTTATGATGAAGTCGACATAATTTTATCATTTCAATTCCATTCATAACCATTTCTTCTGTACAGTATGTGTCTGTATCCATTAACAAATATTTTTCTTTTTGAGTATATAATGCTGAAACTGAATGTCTAATTATATTTTAGTTTAACTATGTTGTGTTAAATCTGTTTGATCTTCATTATGTACTGTTTTTTTGTTTGAAATATGACAGGTGTCAACCCCTGATCGAACCAAAATAACTCAGCAGAAGTATAGAAGTATATTTTATTATAGTGGACACCAGTATGAAGATAATTACCATGCATTATCGTGGATATACAAGGTTCACCTTTTCAATTTCAATAAATAAAACTTACAGAACTAAAGGAAGTGTTCTTCAGTCCAGAAAAAAAAATCTTTTAAGGGTAAAATTAATCTAAATTCTTCTTCCTTCTCTCTTCAGACTATTTCCTTTGATTATTGTTGATTCTTTCTAACTCTTTGGTTGAAAAGATCCCCAGCCTATCATTTCTACACCACAACATTGTATCTTGCAGTCAGGTTATCGTTCCATTTGCAATACTCCTATTAACTTAGATTGGGCAGCTAATACACTTTATGAGGTACATCAGCAGGAGGGTTGACTTCAACCCCCTAAAATTAAAAAATATAAAATAATCACAATAACAAATATAGAAAAGTTCCTGCTTTTAAAGGTGGTGTAAATGGATCATTTACTCTCTCTGATCAAATAACATTTCACTTTAAATTGATCTCTTCTAGTTTCGACCAACATGTCTGAGTTTCTTTTAAAACTGGTAATTCCATCAGTTATATAGCTGGTGTGTCCAAGCCTCTGTAGGGATATTGTTTAACGTTCTGCCACCTGAAGTCATTAAAATTAAACATTCACTGCTGGATTTCAGTTTTCCTCTTTACTTCACCAACGTTATTATTATGAAAGTGTTCATAAATTGTTTAATCTTTTCAACCATTTGCTTTGGAGCCTTAAAGAAAGATCTTTTTCTTACACTTCAGGTTTAACAAAGATGCAACAGAAAATGATATCTTTGTGAAACTGCAGTCATTCACCATAAGCAATTTGCTCAGGCGAAATGAAGGCGACCCATTACAAAACAACCCAGTGTTGTGCAGGCAGTAAAATGACAACAGCTGTGCTAGTTGGAAATGCTTTTGGACGCCACTCCTCTTTGTTCACACATTAATGCCAGTTCAGCTCTGGGATTACTTGTATTACTGCCTCAGACGCACATCAAATAGAGATAAACTTTAATCTGTAATTTTGCCTCTAGACTCTCAGATGGTCTTTGCTATTTTTTTGCTTCTGACTTGTTGTCAATTAACCTTCCGAGTTATGAGCTATTTATGTTAATTTGCTGTGCTCACTAATGGTTTTCATTAAGTTGTCCACCTGGGTTATGATTTAAGTAAATACAGAATCAGTTTTTAAATGATGCTTTAATTTATTAAGAGATAGAAAAACAAAAAAAACAATTCTCATTGACCTGGCCTGATGTGGAAAAGCAATTGCCCCATAAACCTCATCGCTGGTTGTGCCACTTTTTTTGCAGCACAGCTGCCATCAGGCATTTGCTGTGTCTGGCTTTTAATTCCCTTTGTTAGAAATTTTGGTCATTTCTTTTTTGCAGAATGGCTTCAATTCAGCATCAATGAAAATTTTCAATCATTAACACTCTATTTTAGGCAATGCCATAGCTTCACACTGGATGTAGGTCCGGACTTTAGATAGGCCACTTCAAGTTATTCAGAGGTGGAGTCACTGTAGTGCCTAGGAGCTTTGCCTTTCTGTTTAACCATAATGTGTTTGAGCTGAAGATCACATAATATTAAAGAGCATTTTCTGTCTGGATGTCTTTAATGGAGAATAAAATTCATGTTAGATTAGAGTAGAAGTACAAGTGGAAATTTTTTGGTGTAGCGTCTATTACCTCAACATGTGATGGGGTGAAGGCTCTTAAACCAAACTTGCCTACATTGGTGCGTGAATGTACCAATGGACTTTAGGGCAACTGAGTGAATGTGACTGTAATATAAAACTTTGAGTGGCCAGTATGGCTTGAAAGCACTTCATATCAATTCACTCTACTGACCATGTTTCTATCAATCACCGTATGTCATTGATGTCCCAAATTAGCAAAGTACACCCACACCATCATAAAACCAGGACTTTGTTTGACTTGTTGCATCCACACTGCAAAATGTTTCTTTTAACTTATCAGTAATTTCCAAAAAAACTCTTTGACATCCAAAGGTATTTTTGGGGTGGAAGTGGCAGATCGACCCCTGCCTTCTTTTTGGTCAGCAGTGAATGCAAGTTTGCCTATTTCTTCCTTGTAAATTCTGAGCATTTAGCTTAAGTACAGCAGTGTACAGTGTTTTAGATATTGTTCTGGGTCTTATGGGGAACTCCTAAATGGGCCCTTCATTTAACCTACCACATGTCAGGCACTTTTTTTCTTTATTTAAGGCAATGTCTTTGTCATGCCTTTGTCATGAAACATACCAAAAACTGTGTAATTACAGTTAAATTATGATGTCATGATCTTGGAACTGAAGACTGGTTTGATAACTCATTCCACTCACCTGCTTAGCTCCGCACAGCTATCATTACCATTCATCTGATCCACCTGAATCAGGCTCTATTTTACCAGCCTTCAACCAGTCATCAGTGCCAGATTATTCGAGCCGGTGGTAAGAGTTCTCTAGAATTCCCACATTTCTGATTGCCTGATCTTACCCCTTCTGCCTCTGTACCTCTGAGCCTGCTGAATTTCAGCCTGTGTACCGTACTGGGAACTGATTTCTGACACCATCCTGGATTTCCCTTTGGCACCTCTTTGTACCTCTGATCTCCTGGCTCTGACTACCGATCACATCTTTGACATCGACTTTGGCTTCGCCCTCTGGATCATCCTGCCTTCCTTCATCTGCTTTTCACTGATCCCCTGCCTGTCCTCTGACCTCCGTGACGTCAGCTTCTGGGAATCTCTCGACGGCACCTGCAGCATCTTGTTGGCAGCCCACTAGCTGGATCCATCCTCTGAACTATAAGGTTACCAGGTTACTGACTCACAAATTCGCTATCATCCTCCGCCAGATAGATGTTGTCACTAACCTGTGTTCTCCTCCTTGCAGAGGTTCCAGCCTTATGCTACGTTCAGACCAAAAGCAGCCGAGGCAGCAGGAGCAGCTAGTTTACATGCAAAGTCAATGGTTGACGTGCATCAAGGCACAGCAAAAGGTCCCGCAGCGCATTTTGAGCAGCAGGAGCAGCGTGTTGAAGCAGCGCTTCGTGTGCGTTTGAGCATCTGACGCACGTGATGCGCTGCAAATGCAGCTGCTGCTGAATTTGGAAAATTAAATTTTTCCTGCTCGACGCGCCACATCAACCAAACAGAGAAGCTGATCAGGGAGCTGGCAGGGAGAGAAACACATCGCTGCTGATGCAGATCGCTATGATCACTCCTCTGAAACAGTTTATTAATGCGTAAATTAACTTAAAATGCCGAAATCCGCTAGCAAAACATGTTCATTTTTTTTTTATCCTTGTGCCTGCAGTTTGGATTAAGTACATGAAAACTGCTTTCCAGCCGCCGCGCAAACCATGAAGAGGCGACCAGGCCAGAGGCTGCTGCTGAATGGGATTTCAATGACAGAGCACTGCTGGTATGTGGGGGTCTGAGTGGCTCCAACAGCGAAATAATATTTGAATGCAGGATCGTAATCTTGATGACCTGACTGCACAGAGGAAGTTTTCATGTGGACTTTCTCACTTAAAAACATATTAAAACTACTTTATTCCCACTGATCACAGCATATATAGCTGCCATTTTTACAGGCAAAGAAAGGAGAGGGTAGCTCCGCCCAACACTCATCAGACCCACTTTTCCACCTGCGCATCAGAACTAAACTTGTACAAGCATCAAAAATGAAGCAGCACACGCGTTTTTTCTGCTCTTGCTGCTTTTGGTGTGAACGTAGAACTAGATGCCAATAATCTCTGAGGTTCCATCATAAATACGCATTTGGTTAAATAAAACTGTCTTTTCCCCTTGAATACTGGGCCTTTTTTTCCTGGCCTGACATGATTAAGGGAGATTGAAGGTCGATTCCATATTAAAATGGGTTGATGAGACAAAATGAGAAAAAAACTAAGAACTTTATCAGGGAACAAATACTATTTTACATGCTTCTTATGTAGATATTATATTTCCTCATTCACATTGCAACTTCATTTTTATTCACTGCACAAACTGTGTGTTTTAGCTCTAAAAATTGGCACTTTCATGGTGTTTACTTCCTACACGAGACGTGCAAGGTTAGAGGACACTTTATAAATCTAATCAGGCTTTAACATAAAACTGCCACAGGTTTTTCTGTCTTTTGTTTTGTGACTTGAGTCAAAATAGCTGCTATAAATCTGCTGCTCTTTTTGTCTTTGAGTAAATACTTGTCACCTATGATCTCTATGATGACTCCCTCCCCCCGAAACTTCAAATGTATCTCTTATTTTTGTAATGCATGTAAATAGCTTTATTATAATATAATTCATGCAGGGAGTATTACAGACTTATGGACACTGAAATGTAAGTAGAACAGCAAAGGATAAACAGAAAAAAAGAGAAAAGATGAAAGTAAGAGGAGATAAAATGGATATAATGATAAAACATCTTCAGTCTACTTCATCACCTGCAAAAAGGGGTAAAAAAACAGCACAACCAATGGATATAGTATAAGAGATACAATAAAGAAACACCTTGATACTATTGCTGAAGTATAAGTAGTATTATTTAATTTGACATGTATACTGTGGTAGCTGAAGATCAGAATATAGGCTTTCTTTTTTTTACTGCAATCAAGCATGGTCATCTTTGAGGTCCGGCTGTTGATCTCCCTCTTGACACGTCGGTTGCGTCTGGTACATGAACTGTTCACTCCGTCTGTCAGCCATGTGTTTCTCTTTGACTTGATGCCAAGACTTTGCATACCACTTCTTTCATAAGGAGGGAAATGTTTTGAACAGTTTTGTTTTTGCAGTAAGATAAGTCCTTTTTTCAATTCAAAGAAACTTCTTAACTCTACTTGATACTAGTTGTAAACTGTTATTTTTTTCTGTTTTGCTTATTGTGAACAGCTGCCTTAAGAGAGTGGTGGCCAACAAGCTGCTTCAAAATTGCAGATTTCTTTTGATGAAAATTGCAAATGATTTGTATTGTATTTTCTTAAGGTTTTTAGTCTCTAAAATATAAAATTTTATGTTTAAAATGTGGATATTTTATCTCCCTCAGGCTTGATTGTATTGCTTCTCGAGGAGTGTAATGTCCTCTCATGACTTCAGATTGATGTGACCACAGCCGATAGCATATGTAGACAGGCGGACAAACAAGGTCAGACATGGGTGTGACTATCCTGCTGACTGTAACAGACACTTACGAGCAAATTCAGGATAGTGGGTATGAACACAAATGCACACAGTGAAATAAACTGACTCATGATTTTATCTAAGCATTGGATTTAATTACATTACTTATTCATTAAGCTGGGTGAATTTTTTTTCCAGATTTGTGGTTTTTCGTTACTCGCTGAGCGCCGTGGCCTGTGAAGGGAACACCTGTAGTACAGCTCCGCGAGGCAAGCCTCAGGTACTGAACTGAGACTGTGAGAGCTCAAACAATGTCTGAAACACACACACACACACACAGAAGCACATACTGAGTCAAATATTCTCCGCAAGACTCCTTCAAGGACGCCTGGGGAAGACTTGGAGGACAAAATCACACACTCCCTATCCCAACGTCTCAGACGTGCTGCACTTTTGTTGTAGACAGAAAGACTCCTCCATAGCAACTATGGTCACACACACTTACTCACACTTAAATAGACAAACAAAAAAAAAAGGGCCCTGCCACTTTTTCATCTGTGTGAGAAAAGGGAGGCGCTTTTGCTTGTGTTGTTTCTCTTGTTTCCGCTTATTCCTGCTCTGAAACATTGCAGGGTTTATTCAGTGTGTGTGTGACTGTGTGGGTTTTTGTCAGTGTGTGTGTGAAGTAAAGGGGTCTCATTGGGATTCTTTGACAACCTCATTCACTTCTTTCTTACCCCCAACACCCCCTCCCCAATCTGTGCCAATGGCCAACAGCAACGCAGGAGGGTAGAAATCGTACCCCCCCCAAAAAAAGGAGCAGTTAAAAAACTAAATGTGTCTTCATTTGCTTAAACTTTTCACAAGTCTTTCTTCTTTTTGTTGCCCGTTTTTGGTTCGCTACAGCGCTACAAGCACCTCGGCCAGTTTCCGCTGGCAAGACTTTTCCTCCTCCCTCCTCTGTCACCCACTCCCCCTTCCCTCCTTTCCACAATGTTAAGCCCATTTTTAGCTTGACATAATCTGAAATGGTACTTAAGTGAATTTATGTCCACCTCAGTGCATTAACTTCTGCTATTTCTTCCTTTTTGTTGCTGGGGATTTTTTTTTGTGTATAGTGAGTGTAGCGTCACAGGGAGCAAAGAGGGAGGGAGAAATTTGAAACTCAGACCACGGAGTAGACATCCTATCAGTATTCAGTAGAGAAAGTGAGTGATGGAGGGAGAGAGAGACGGAGACAGGAGAGAAAGGAGGAGGGGGTGATGTATCAATATTCTGAGTAGTGTTTGAGGGCAAGGGGAACGAATAGAGGAGAGGGGGAAGAGAGGGAGAGAGTACTTGAGTGAGTCTCTGAGTGTGATTATTTGTTCACGTATACACCAGCATGTGTGTGCTTCCCTGATCCCGTCCATGCGTTACATTTCATACTTTTCCTTTGCAAAATAACAAAGTACATACATTCAAGTATGCATAACCTGAGCGCATTAATAAACCAATTTAAAGTAGGAAGGCTGCAACTGCTGGAATGTTTCCACAAGAAATAACTTCATCTTATTATGCTGCATTCCAAATTCAATTTACACGACGCCAAATCTATCAGTTGCAGATTATCTGTCTAAAGCAAAGAAACTAGTAACTAGTAGACAGAATGGCAGGTGCAGGCTCAGTTGGATAGAGTCTTAGTGCAATCCCTTGGGTGGTTTGGGGAAAAATGCACACTTCACTCACTTCTTTACTTGTTTCAGAGAATGAAGGATAGCATCAGCTTGTATATGATGTAACAGGTATCAGCCACTATGAAATACGCTAGTGGTTTTAACCTAGTCCTCATAACTTGTCAATATTATTGCATCTGAAGCCTAATTGAAATATTTCCATTGAAATAACAGCCACACATCAGAGTCAGATCGCACCATCTCTCATTGTTTGAGCCAAAGACGACCAAGGAGGACAACGTTGTTAGAAAAACAAATCGTAAAAAAGCCAGACAGGAATTTCCCTAACTACATGTTAACAAGCTTAAGGGAGAAGGTCCTATGGACAGATGAGAAGAAAAATGGAGCTGATGGCAAAGGCACATCGGCTCTACTGTATGTTCACAAACAGAAAAATAAAGCATATCAAGAAAAGAACACTGTTCCTACTGTGAAACATGGAGGAGGCTCTGTTATGTTCTGGGGCTGCTTATCTTCATCAGACTCAAGGTGTCTTCAATATCTGCAGGATATAATTAAATCTCAAGACTATAGAGGGATTTTAGAGAGAAATGCGCCGCTCAGTGTCAAAAAGATTTGTCTTAGTCGCAGGTCATGGGTCTTCAGCAGGATAATGACCCAAAAGCCACAGATAGAAACATCCAAGAATGACTAAGAAGAAAACATTGGACTATTCTGAAATGGCCTTCTATGAGCTCTGAACTAAATCCAAATAAGCATCTTTGAAACATGCCATCTGGAAAAGGGACCCTTCAAACCAAAGACAACTAGAGCAGTTTACTCATAAGGAGTGGGCCAAAATACCTGCTGAGAGGAGCAGAAGTCTCATTGACAGTAACAGGAAGGGTTTGATTGCAGGTGTTTCCTCAAAAGGTTTTGATACAAATATTAAGTGTCCAGGCCAAAGTCTTTTTTTTAATTTGATTTTATTTTTTATCATTCTGCTAATGCATGATTGGGATAGAACGTCTGACACCCATTTGTTCCTTTGTAATAGAATTTTTTATTTATTATTACTTTGGTTCGATTCAAGTTATTTCTGACAAATATTTTTTTTCCATGTGCCCCTTCTTGTGTATCACCATTTAATCAAAATATTATGTTTCGTTTTTTTTTATAGGGAGAGTAAGGGGGGAGCTGTTTTTAAAGTGGGTTTCAGAGCTAAAACATTAAAGCTAAACATTAACAAGCATTCCTTTTTTCAAATATTTTTAGCTACCACAATCCAATAAAACTTAAGTCGAACTAAGGAGCCTCTGAAGATTTTCTCTCTACGGGGTTGTTTGGACCAAATTACTGAAATTTTTTTATAACATGGTTGCCATGTAAAAACTGGCCATAGAATAGAAAATTATACATGTGGGCAATTCTTAGACAATTCTCTGGAAATCCTCAGCACCGATTTAAGTAGCAGGGAAAATTCAAATTTCAAAATACTTTAGGAATCCCAAAGAGAAACTAATGTAACTCAGATTATAGGCTTTACTGAAGTGGCTAAACATGCTGATGGCTGTAGGTTGGAGGAATCTTCTCTAATGGTTCGTCCCTGGCACATCAAGGATTTGGTGTAAAAGCACTAAAACACAGCAGCAGGGACGTATTGATAAGATCCAACAATAATAAAAACTACAATATAAAATATTTCTATACAGTGGATCTGGAGATACCTCTGGCTGGAGCTTCCTTAGGCAACAGTTTTCTAAGAGGATGCTTGTTGTCCGAATGGCTCTTTATATTATGAATAAATTCATCCATCCATTTTCCATCATGTTTATCCCAAGCGGGGTTGCAAGGGGTGCTGGTGCCTCCAGCTGTCTACTGGTGAGAGGCAGGGTACATCCTGGACAGGTCACCAATCAAGGGTGTACACACTCACACCTAAGGAGAATTTAAAGAAGCCAATTAACCTAACAGTCATGCTTTTGGACTGTTGGAGGAAGCTGGAGTACCCAGAGAGAACCCACGGATGCTCAGGGAGAACATGCAAACTCCATGCAGAAAGCCCCCGGGCGAGGAATCGAAACCCTGAACCTTTTTGCTTGCAGCAAAAAAATTCATCTCTGTGAAATCATCTTCAGAGGTTCCAGAGGAGTTTCCAGGGAAGAACCATTCTTCTTTATCAGCCTGTTAAGCTTCTTCAAGTAATTTTTTCTAATGCTGCTTTCACATCAGATTATGATCATTATGATTATGATCGAAGAGATTGCACTCTGCAAAACACACTGATAGAAGATATGCAATAGAGAAAAGCCCTTCTAACATTAAAGAACCTTTTCTCTGTCATTTCTTTCAGGGAGGAAACAAGAAAGGAATGCTGCTTTTACTGGAAATATCAATAAAGAAAACAACACGTTTTTAGATTATGGATATGTTAAGTTACCTCTTATTTTACATTTGACTTTACTAAGGTTAAACATATTAGTATGTTGCTTACCAATTATGCCATTTGGGGAAAATATTTTCAGGTATTTTTTCTGCAGGATGTAATGAGAAATAACTAACGTTTCCAATCTTTGTTGCCCATACATGTGTTCTCTGTTACAGCTTAGAGTTGTTTCAGTTGCTTTTCTAACTGTAGGAGATTCGTTTTTAATAAAGACCTCTCCAAATCCTACTGAAATGTCATGAATAATTCAGTCAATTAAATTATCCCTCTCCTTATTTTTTTATATATTGCATTTGATTACTTCCGAATATTTCTGCAAAACCTATATTACACCTTGCAAAGATGTGCTCTCCAGGCTATACAGGTGTTCTCCGACATGGCATTTTAGAACCATTTAATTTCTGGCAGCTGAAGTTTGTCCAGCACTGAACAGCGCTTTAGTCGGACCACATGGTTATCCATTTTGGCCACAGTCCCCTGTCTGGGCATAGTTGGCTGGTCGCAGACTTTGGGTACGCAGATAGCTTGGAGCTATGGGCATTAATGTGATTGGCAGTGGTGGAGCAAAGTCAATTCCAAACAGCATAACCAATCAGCAGCGGCTACGTTACCTTTTTCTCCCTGCAGATGGTTTAATCAGGCAGGTACTCTGCCTACCTGAAAGAAAGTGGAAAAAACCAACTGGAATTTTTTTTAATATAAGGATTTAATACTGAAGGAAATGTACAGTGCCCTGTGAAATTACCATCACACATTGGTCATGTAAGAACCACAAATTCCCATGTGTTTTATTGGGATTTTGTATTGTAGCACCAGAATTATGAAGTAGAAGGGAAAGCATACAGCATGCATGTTTTTTCACAAATACAAACTATAAAACAGCTAAAGTTTATTGAGATCAATGGAGAGTTTCTGTGAATATAATTTTTGAATGTTTTGCTGCACATTCTGAAACTTGAATAAGGCCCAGTAATTGACTGGAGCCATTCTAACTGATGGAGACACTTTGGTCCAAAACATTCACAGCTGCTCTGACTGTATGTTAGGATATTGTCTAGCTGATAAGTTAACCTCCCTTGGGACATTTGCAGCCTTCTAACCAAGTTTCTTTCAAGAAAGAATTCACTCCATCAATCAACTGAGTCATTCCCTCATCATGATGCTGCCTGCACCATGTTTCAAAGTGGGATGGTATGTAAGGTTAATGTGCTTTGTTAGTTTTCCAACAAAAAAAAGCACGTTGTACACACCAAAACATGTATTTTAGAGCACAGCACACTTTTATAATTATTTTTTTAAATAAATTTGAACACTAAATGTCCTTTTCTCTTGCCTTCAAAACAACAACTTCTTAAAAATTGCGCAAAAAATATATAATTCTAGCTGTAGAATGTTTGACACATTGAAAAATATGTAGGAGGTATAAAACTTTTACGATGCAGTGTATTTAGATACAACTTAAGTTCTCATTGTTGACTGTTAGTTTGATTGAATTTCTGTTTTTATTATTTCTGAACTTAAAAAGGTGGGGATTCAAATTTGTTTGTTTTTAGAAAACATTTGTTCTATTTCTACTTTTTGGTTTTGAATGTGGTCAAAAGTCTAAAAACAATATCGGATCTTGAACTGGATGTGGAATAGCATGTGGAATATAAAAACATTTTCATTTTGACTCTTTTAGAGCTTTAATATAAACATTCAGAGCTGCTCTGACTGTACGCTAGGATATTGTCTAGCTGGATAGTTAACCTCCCTCAGGACATTTGCAGCCTTCTAACCAAGTTTCTTCCAAGAATGAATTTACTTCATCAATCAATTGAGTCATTCCCTCATCATGATGCTGCCTGCACCGTGTTTCAAAATGGGATGGTATGTATGGTTAACATGGTTTGTTAGTTTTACAACAAAAAAAGCATGTTCGAGCACAGCACACTTTTTTATATGTCTTTGAAATAAACTTGAACACTAAATGTCCTTTTCTCTTGCCTTCAAAACCATAACTTCTAAAAATTGTGCAAAAATTGTGTGTTTTTAGAAAACATTTGTTCTATTTCTACTTTTTGGTTTTGAAAGTGGTCAAAAGTCTAAAAACAATATCTGATCTTGAACTAGAATATAAAAACAGTCATTTTCATTTTGGCTCTTTTAGAGCTTTAATAGAAATCTTGGATAAAGATAAGTTGCCAAATAGATGGAATATATATTTTTTCAGAGTAAAATGTCTTGATTTATTTTGAGGCTTTAGAAAGTGCCCAGTCAGTGTGATACCCCCCTACAGTGACAAAAAAAAGTGTTTACAGAACGGCAGTCACATTGTGCAATCTGTTTGAATGTGATGGAATCTCCCACTTGTTTCAGGCATCCTCTCTCCTTCCTTCTGTGTCTCCCTCTCTCTTTTCTCGCTGCTAATCAGCATTTGAAAGGCAGCTTTGACAGTGAGAAAGAAACTGAGTAAGAGGAAGGGGATGGGTGGACGTGGGGGGGGTAAACGAAAGCATGAGACACAGCGAGTTAGGGAGGGAGAGTCAGAGGGAAGCTGAGGCGAGGGGCTGTACAAGCATGCCTTTTATATTTACTAGTGACTGAGAGGGAGGGAGGCAGGGAGCAGCTGAAGGCAGAGACAACTGGTGTGCACGGCTTTCCCAAGAGGAAATGAAAAGAAAGAAGCTCAGCGAGGAGAGTGAATGAGTGAGCGGCAGAGAGAAAGGAGGGAGGGAGGGAGCGCGCCGGCTGGAAGCAGGGAGGAAGGGAGGGAGTTAGACAGAGAGAAAGAGATTCTCACACCGGCTGCGTCCTAATCCGAGTCCATCTCCAAGACGCAGCGGAGCAGAGTGTCAGTGAAGTGATTCCGAGAGCCAAGGAGAGCCGCAGCAGCTCGTCACACACACATCCACACTGTCTCCATCCTCCGCTGTCACAAACACACACTCCTGCAACAGGATGCGTCCGGCTGCGCGGCCACGGCTTTTGTGAAAGTGAGGGGATTGACGGTGCCCACCCCCTTCGCGATTGTCCCGGCCGGCCCCCCCTTTGGCTCACACACACCGTGTCTGTTTGCTGTGTCTAAGCTCGGGGCGCTGCTGCCGCTGCTGCTGCTGGAGGAGTAGGAGGAGGTGTTGGAGGTGGGGTGGGCACTGCCACGGCAGAGCAGGGGGGCACCTAAGAGGAGGAGGAGGAGGAGGAGGAGGAAGAGGAAGACAACAAAGTGGATCAGATCAACCGCACGCGGACTGGAAATGCCCGTCAGGTGAGTAGATAATAGATCTAACAACTTACAGTCAATACACACATGCAGGCGTGCGCCCGCGCGCGCGCTGCTGGAGGATGGATGCGAACGCATGGACGCTCACTGGAAAAGTTATTCTCACCTTCAAACTTTTATTCTCACTTAGAAATTAGTTTTTACTAAACTAATTTGTTGTATTGCACAGCTTAATGATTTGCAAAAGTTGTTTTTTTTCCTCAAACGAGAAAAAAAAAAATTAAAATAGATTTTAGCAATTTTAACAAACAGGTATTATATCTAAGTTTGACTTTTTTTCTTCATAATTAAGTAAATACATCACTTTTTTCATCGTTGAGTGCACATGTAGAAAAAATAATAGTTATATAAACGGATGAAATAATATTGATACCTGTTATTTTATTATTGTTGTCCTTTTTGAGGAAAAAAAGGCTTTTTTTTTTACACTAACTTCTTTGTATGTTTCATCAGTTAAAACTAGCAATTCAAATTCATTGCTTTAAGGATAAGCCAAATAATCGTGTAGGTTTATGTTGTTTGAACGCGTCTGCTGTTTGAAGATAGGAAGGCTGAGAGGGAGCCGCGCGCGCGCCTCGTCTCCACCTGCAAAAGGCTGAATTGGTCACAGCTTACTGGCTCGGTAGCATTCGCTGCCTTCGGGGTGTTTTTGCAGCAGGTGGTCTAAATTGGCAGAATGACTGTGACAAACAGGGAGCGTTTCACTGGTGTTGTAAAGTAAATACCAGCATCAAACCATCAAATAGAAAAAACCATGTTTTCTTTTTTTGCTTTTCTTCTTCTTTCCTCAAAGTCAAAGTCGGACTTTATCGCATTTAGCAAACATTATGAGTCAGGCTATGTGTGTCTATCTAAATGTAAATATGTGCATGCCCAAATGAAAATTTATGTTGTGGATTTTTGTGTAAATTGTGCTCTGTTTCAAACCCCACTGACAAGATCATTTGCATCCACACCTGCTGAGGATGCAGCTGCCTGCAGATATATTCTCACATATAAACTCACTCAGATGGATGTGGAAAAAGTGTCAGAAATGTTTAGAAAAATAAAATGAATGTGTTCCTTTAATTATTATTATTATGTTATAACTAGTGGAAATGGTTATTAACATTCATTATACTATGGATATGTCCGCTTTGATGATTTCAATGAGCACAGATTTGACAAATGCCTCCTAAAGGAGCTAGAGTCCAAAGTGAAACACTGGATGGTACAGTTTATACCCCAGCCTCCTGAGCTACTGAGCCTCTCCATCCTATTCAGAACCTGCATATGCAGGATGTTTTCCTTGCGACCTCTCTTTAGGCCCTTTTTATGAGAACCAGACACACGTTTATTCCCTTGGCTTTTTTCAATTTAAGGAGTTGCGGGTTTGTGCCAAAGGCAGAAGTGAACTCGGGTTAAGTTTGCAGAAGAGAAAATATATCCCTCCTAGGTATGGACCTGCATGAAAATCAGCTGTGATGAGACCCCCTGGATATCGACAGTTGACAATATTAACACCAACATTTTTAGAACTTCGATGTTTAACTGTATTTTTTCTAGGTATTGCTAAAAAAACATTGATTATTGTAGTTAAAATAATGCCTTCTATGTTATTCGGTGTGACGTTAATAAGAGTGACAGGTGGTGCTTCTTGGATTTCCCTATTAAGGCTGTTTTTCTTGTTAAATGAGAGGAAATTTGTTGCAGTATTCTTTTATCCAGCTGACCCCTAATCGTGCAGCAACAGGTAGGAGAGGGGAAGTACTATGTTTCTCTGCTCCACACACTTTTTATAGATCTAACTAAAAGGGATCTAAACTGAAAGAGGCATATGATGAATAACTTTTTAAAACCTTGGTCAAACTTGTTTGGGTTATTGATCTTTAACCGATGCCTGCTGCAGATATAATAAAAGCTAAAGGAGATGGGATTGAATGTAATTTTTAAAGGTTTTTCTTTCTTTTTTGCTTCAGTTTTAATCACGGCCTCCATTTGGGCAGGTATACCTGCTGCACTATTTACGTTTCTTTTATCTCTTGATATTTTCCTCCTCTCTCTGTTGCTCTTTTAGAAACACACACTCTGAGGTAGTCAGGGTGTTGACAGACAGTCGCTCGCACACTTCTTCTCTCTTGCCGTGCGAGCGATAGTGTGTGCGTGAAGAATGCTGACAGACAGTGTGTGGGTCTGTGACAGAGGGTGTCAGCGCAGTGTCAGGGAGATGTGTTTAGTGTCACACTCTGCTGACCTGATCTCCGGTTGGACTGTCCACTCCGGCCCCGCTGTGGCTCCTTACATAACCCCCGCTGTCATTCACACGGACGCCTGAAGGGATCCGCCAGGGTTCTGTGCACGCTTAAACACACGCACGCCTTTAGAGAAGATCCAAAATGTAAAAGCATACAGATTTCCTTTCAAATTCATATTCGCAGTTTACTTTTGTGATTTTAATGATTTACTCAACAACATAAAAAATCTGCTTATATCTGAAGTGTTTGAACAAAGCAACAAGTTTTAGTTTCCTGCAAACCCTTTTTTTATTGAAGATTCTGGATTCCAAAAAAAAAAGGAACACCCACGTAACTTGGGCTTTTCTTATGATCCGTTTCAACATGTTTACCATCCTCTCTGTATTGGCATCTGTGCTTCTTCATACTGTGCACTTTTAGTCCTGACTCAGTGACCCTGTGTGCCATTTGTTGGCCTGTGGTTATTTAGAGGTCAGCGCTGATACAGTGATGCTTGGCGAGAGTGGATTTACCATCCTCGGCCCTGGATAGAAGGCAGAATCCATTTTGCTGACTCCTCCACAGTCAGAAAGAAGATGCCTCTGTCCGCTTTCTTATTTTTTACATATTTCTTAAATTATTTATAGTTACTTTCATGTGAAGCTTAACTGCAAACATGGGGTATGAACCTAAACTATGCAAACTGGACATATGGCTTTTTTAGTGTTATGTTGGATTTTTTTACCTAATAAGTCCTATTCAAATGTGTCCTAAATGAACATAAGAAAAGTCAGACTTAAAAAAACATATTTGCTCGGCCCCATTTTCAAAGGCATTCAGACATCAGGGGACATCTTTTTTAGTTTTTCAACCTTAACTTAAAAAAAAGGTACTGTATGTGGAGGAAAGGATAAAGTCACTTCTATGTCTAAGGAAACATTTAATCTTGGTTCCTCTGTTTTTTTAAGCAATGGGACCAGGGAGATCTTAGATGCCTCCTTAAATCGGAGTGGAATATTTAACTGAACAGCTTTTCTCACCAGAGTTTGTTTTTAACACTTTCCAGTTTAAGACACTGCTCTGCAAAGAGAAGCAGATCCTTTTATCATAAATCACATTTAAGAACTAAATGTTACATCCTGGCCTGGCCTGGTCTGCCTCCTTAGATGCAATTTTACAAAACAGAGAATTGTGATCTAAACTCCTTTAAAAAAATGAAAGAAAACCCTACTTCTTTGATATTATCAGAACAGCTTAATATTAAGGGTAAATGATGTTGCTTTTACATTTATTCATTGTCATTGTCATGTTTATGCTAAACCCTAAAGATATAGAGTCAAAAGTCGTCACATTTAGTATGTTTACGTTTAATTTGAGCAATCTGTGATACTCCCTGAGGGTTTATACCATGGCTATCAGCTAGAACCCTGAACATCTGACTCCAGTTTTATTTTGTTGTTCCTGTGAGCAAGGAAACAAATTAGAAACTTTTTCAACTATCTACAGCAACATGTGGGGGAGGGACAGCATGCCGTCCTTCTAGTTTCCACATAACCTGACATAGTGACAAATGAAACTTTGTTCACTTTGTTAGTTTCTTTGGACCCACAGATATGACTTTAACCAGAAGGAATAGCATGACAGGTTTAAGCTATACATTTTTAAATTTAAATAAAGAAAACTGTTCTGCATGCTGATTATTGATATCTGAAGGTATAGCAGAGGATTTCTTGTGTGCATACGGTGGCTGAAGCAGGTGGCTATTATGACATTCTTTGTTGCTGCATATGAGCAGCAGACATCAAAGCACGCACACCAAAGTCCTCTGAAATAAAAGAAGAGGCGGGGAAAGATATTGATTACAGAAGGTGAACATTAGTGAATCTCTATCTCTCCTCTTTTTTGCCAGCCTCCTCATCTGTTTATCATTTCCTTTCCTCTGTTTCTTTTTTCTCGTTATGCTTCCTCCATCCCCCATGTGCTCTCCATCCACCCCTCTATCCCTCTTTAATCATTTATCTATTTGCTGATCTCTTTATTCTGTGTTCTTGTAGTTTTAGGGATGCAACTCGATGTAACTGTGCGAGCTGTTATCATTCCTTCACACCCAGCCATGACTCCTCCTTTGCTCATCACTGCAGAGATACCTGGGGGCGGGCAGGGTCACGCTGGTCAAATCTAACGGCGTATTGATTCCATTAGATAATTAATGACCCAAGCAAGGGCCGTGGAGGAGCAAAAAGAGGGTTAGAGGCGAAGGATTGTGGGGCGGGGTTGGGGATTGTAGATGATGTGAGGCAATGGGAATGCAGGATGTGCTTCTGGGGAGGGGGTGGCGGACGCCAGGGCCCCTGAGAGTTGAAGAGAACCTTGGGTTGGGAATGATCCAGAACCGTCAAGGTCAACAGCAGCCAGAGCTTCACTATGGAAGCGGAATGCCGATCGAGTTGAATAGCGAGAGCTAAGGTGGAAGGGGGGGGTGGTCTTCATGTCCAGCAGCTGTCGATAGATCAGCGGCTGAAAAATTGTACATTAAAAAGTGTTTTGACTTCCAAATCCTCAGGTCCAACCGCGGCCGTAATGCATGATAAGTAGTTTTCAAGCCCTCCAACCAGAATACCAAACTTCTTCTCCCCGGACGCTCCAGACACTCATTTACAAGCACTCAACAACATGAAAGGCAAAGATAGAAAACTAACTACATCAAATATTCTGCTCATGTTACAGCCAATCATGTTTTCAACATCTTCCATGATATTGAGCGCTCTGTAT